AAATTCTCTATTTTTATATTAAAAAATTATCTATTTTTATATTAAAAAAATCACTGCTAAACTATACTGCAAGAAATGGTTAAGATTCAACGAGTTAATGAGTGTTACTTGGGCAGAAAGAATGGGCCAATTCAACTACTTCTCTAGTATACAGTTACTGTATGAAAATACCCATCAATTAACATTTGTTCTCCAAGGGAATGTACAGCACTGGAGATACCTCAAACTTATCTAACAAAATGGAGGTAAAAATTGATGTTCAATTTTCTAAACACAATGGAGGTAAAGAGAGACAATTCTTTTACAGCTGTTTCCATGTTGATTTTCTGCTAGCCATGGTCTTGCAGACTACAGATTTAGCCCCAATTCCAAACTTCAAAACATTAGTACTCAGTAATTAACCAAGCGAACCATAAAGAAAAGACTCCAGACTGTGCCTCAGAAGGCTCGGAGTGCTGCCCTGACACTGCCAGGCAACAGGAAGGTAAGCGAGAGGTAAGAGAGACTGTGAAAAATCGAATTCTGTTCTCTCATATGGCAGCACATATTGTGTCAGCAGGTACTCAGGCCAGTCGCAAATGGGTGAGAAGGGAGCAGGAGGAGATAGAGGAAGGGCAGGGAAGGGTAGAAAGAGGGGGTGTGGTCTAATTCTGAGCACGTGGAGTGTCTATAAACTAATTTCTGCTTTCATCGTATCTGAAAAATTTAATAGTCTACCTTAAAAAAAGTCTTCTTTAGAAGAATACCAAATCCCTAATGAATGTCTTCCTTTTTTCCCCTCAAAGACAGACTGCAACTCTCATAAATGGAATGGAACAAAGCGGTCCAGTCTGTTTCACCACGTAACAGCACAGAAGACATAAATGTTATTAAAATTGTACCTAATGACCAGTTTTTCTTTACCCTGACAGTGAGTCCTTATCTTTACCCCCACCTCCAACGTTAACCAGCTTTTTCCTATCCTTTCCCTGTTTCTCTCTTGCAAAACAAAACAAAATCCTAACTTCCCTGCCTGCTTCTACTCCCGTGCCAAGTCATGAGTTCAAAGCATTTCTTTATTCCATGCCAATTTTTCCTGGCTTAGCAGTATATGTACCCTGTGGTTCTTGATCTAAACAAATGGTGGGCTATAAAAGGCAGTTGACAAAAGAAAGGTGATCCGGACTGAGCCATCTGGGACACTGCCTTCAGGCAACCATAAACTGCTGTCCCCTGCCGTTATGCTGAAGACTTTCTAAAGCAGAAATCACTCCTCCCTTCAAATACATGATTTGTTATAGCTTTCATGCTTTACAAAGGACAAAAGTATACAAGGGCCTGAAAACAAATGAACAAGAGACAAACACTAAATAGGCTTCCTTGAACTCAATCAACAACCAAATATACTATTTTATACTACAGGAAGAATCAAGTAAAATCAAATATTAATTTTGCTTTACCAGATGATGCACAGACATTAATTATAATGATGGGTGCAGGAAACAGTGGTAAAACCGTAACAAAACACTACCACTGTTTAGGCAGCTTAAAGGTCATCCACAGGCGTCACCAGTGGTGCTGCTGCTGCCAAACAGATGTGCAGTACTTTTTACAAACCTCCTTTACTGTTTTATTGCTTCAGAGAATGGGGAATGACCTATCTCTGCATCTTTATAGAAAAGAATTCTACAACTTAAACATGCTAGAGGAGATATACTAAAATATGAATAAGCACAAGTTAAAACATTTCATATAATAAACCCAAAAATTATACACAAGGATTTAAACATAACCAATAAATGTCTATTAAATTTTATCCAAGCAGAACAGCTTTATTGCCAGTGAGCTAATATTCTTAGGAGGAAAAAAATGAATATGAATGTTATTAACTTAATTAATTCAGTGTAATTAACACTGAATTAATGTTGCCTGATTAACTCAGGTCACTTCAGTATTTGCTAAAAATATCATTAGAAAATCACAACCACCAAATGCTCTTACACTGTTGTGGGGCTGAATTTCTAGGAACATATTTATCGTATTTGTTTTAAACTTCTGATATTAAATCTTCATGTTAAATTGTTCCTTGGGAACAACCGATCCTGACTAAAGCAGGTAAAATGATGTGTTTTTCCTGGTTCTAAAGACAAACCAGCCAACCAAACCCAAAACAACAAACTTAATTCCAATTTAATAAACTTAAAACCTTGGGTTCTACTTTCCCAGTTAAAATTCTGTGATTTTTATTGGCAGTCATTTTGTATTAAATTCTACCTGGATTCTATTTCTTTTTGGATAGATTTTTTTTTAATGTTTACTCATAGCTAGTCATGAAACTATGACTTTAAGATCATGAACTTTCAAATCATTTAAATAACAGAAAAAAAAATCTCAACCAGGTAAGAATAAAACAAGACCCAAGACACACCTGGGTAGACTGCTTGCTTGTAAATATTAAGAAAAAAAAGAGGGTGTGTTTAAAACAAAGCTTTTATTTATTTCAAATTAAATTATTTTCTGTAGCTGTGTTTTCAAACAGAAGACCTTTCTGACTACGAAAAACTCACCCATCAGCATTCTTCTCTCTCAACAAAGCAGCAGTTTCTATTAGCTTCTTCCTTCTCTCCCATTGTTTTCTTTGCTTTTCCCGAACCTTCGAACAACAAAACAGTTTGCACTTTAACTGGTAATTATATATTGGATCACTATGGCAGGGACTGAATTTTCATTTTTTGCATCTTAGATGGCTTAATGTAAGACAAAAGACAACTTCCAAAGTTCTATTTTAACACCGGAATAAGCTGTATTTCAGCATGTCTGATTCAGATGGCAGAATTTTAAGTATCCAAATGTTGTAAAACTTGAATAAGCCACAATAAATATTCTTACATTTTCTTTTTCTTTGTTCTCTTTAAATTCTACATCTTCCGCATTAATGTCTGTTGTTTCCTGCTCTTCTGTTTGGTTGATCTCCATAGCTGCTTCAGTAGTAGATTCCTCTTCTGCTTCCTGTAGGGAAGTCTGCTTCTCATCAGTCAATCCATTGCTCTCTTCTTCCACTAGCATGTTATCCTCAGGTTCTGAAGGCAGAGTCTCTGTAGAGAATGTCCCAGAGAGGAGACTATCCACTTTGCTGAGAGGAAATTCATGAAGATTATCAAAAAAAAGCTTTGGAAATCCAAAACAACTGGTAGCAGCTCTAACAGGTCCCCCTCCTGGATACATCTGAATAATGGATCCATAGCCTATGAGAGCAAAAGAATCAGAAACACATTGGAAAGCCAGAATTTCTTAAATTGCTTACATTTTCTGAATTTCTAAAATGCTTAAATTAAGCATTCATTTAAGAACAGGTAAGTAAGATGCCTGCTCTTAATCTAACCTTCATCAAATGTAACATTCTGTTGAAGTATGCCTCAAGGTGGAAAAATCTCTGTTGGAAAGACAACAATTACTGCAACTTGGAAGGGCAAAGTAACTCAAAGACTATGTGTGTATTAAAAATGTAGTTAGGATTAGCACAGAACATATAAGCAGTGATAAATTGTTAGAAAAGCTAACTTAATTAAAAATTAAGACAAATTTTCTACAATACTTGTTACTTATGATTATAGACTGATTTTGATAAAAAATAAAAGCTAATTTAAACAGCATTAATAGACAAAGAATTTCTTCAACATCCAGACTGCCTGTCTAATGTTTAACATACTAAAAAACCTTTTTAATAGTTATATTGAAATTCCATTTTATTTAATTTACTTCTGAAAGTATCCCTATGGCCAAAAGTTGCTGAAAGAAAACCAATTTATAGTATAACTGCCTGTGTGCTTCGCAGCCAACAGACAGCACATCTGGGTGCACAGCATTACATCACACTTCCTACCTTTCTGGAATATAACTGTCACCTCTGTCTAGTGTCTTTGAATGACTTACCATGAAACTAATTCACAGAGCTCGAGAAATAAAAAACCAAGTCAAACTACTTCCATAATATGCTCAAGAAAATGTCATATGTTACTTTTAAAATACATGTTTTGCTGATGTTAAATCTCTGACACAGCAAACAAGATGAATGACATTTTCAGTGCTGCAGGCTGTCTGAATTCCAGTGTTACTATTCCTGCTTTCTGCTATTCTCCAACAGAAATACAAGTATCTCTGAATGCTGGAGACAGTAAAAGTAGATTTTAAAAACTGAGAAAGTATTTTGAAGTACTGCCTTTTCAAAGTATTGCAGAGATGTGTATTTCTTAAATTTCAAGTCAGCCCTCAAGCCTGTACATCACTAAAGCTACCGTGTTACTTACCTCCCATCCTTTCCATCACCGCACCCAGCACAAGGCCTGCACATGTTTCCATTACAATCATCTTGTTGCCAGCACGGATGTTTCCTAAAGTCAACATCTGAGCTAGGGTGTCATATCGCAAGTGGCTAGAAGACAGAGCGTTTTAAAGAAACACCGAATTAGTTTTCTTAGTTAGTAATAGTGCATATTAGCTCAGGACACTGTCAAAGAAAGTTGGATTAGAGGTAGATTTTCAGGAACAGCATCAGTGGCCTTCAGAGTGACCATGCAGAAACTTATAACCAACCATCTGGTAATAAAGAAGCACTAGAAACAGAGCCAACAAGAAAATTAGCAGGAAATGGGTGTTTAGGTTTATAAAATAAATAGGAAAAGTAGAGTGCACATAATAAAGTGCTGTGCCAGTCAGACAAAATATTTTTTAAACTTCTTTTCAATGTTCTGTTTTTCTCTAACACTTCAGTTTTGTAAATAATAAGTGGTATTTAAATGCATTTCGTAATCCAGTAGTGAATCCTTAGTGTTTTTCATCTGTTTCGCAGTAGCATGCACCACCTGCAATTCAGAATCAAAACCTAACTCTATTGACTGCAATGCCTGCATTGTCAAGACTCAGTGATGGCCAAAGAAATTACAACTAATCTTAACAGATAAATAAAGCCAAGTGAAGGAGATGGGGGAAGGAGAAGGAAAAAGGTTTGAGAAGCCTTAAATAACATAAATTTGAGGTTTTTAAGTCTCAGCATCTTAGATCTATTTTTTTCTACTTTAAAAACAATAAATCAGTCCATCTTAAACAATGTCTGTACAATGTATCATTCAATTTAGGTAAGTAAATAAATCAAACATGGCTAGATCTGTCATCCTCGCTCCCCCACTCCCACCCCACAATGTTAGCCACATCTTTTTAAATTCTGGAGACTTCTGATTGAAGAAGATTTTGAATCCCTAGCACATTAAAGACAAAAATTCCTGTTTCTGATAGGTGGCTTATTCTGATTATTGAGCCAGAAAACAGAGACAATATGCCACCGACCAAAACCAAGTAAGAGATACCTCTGAAAATGCAAAGACCCTCTGTCTACATAGGTAATTAGCATGATGGCAGTGGTAAAAGCTAATGCCCCATGCAAAAGTTTTCCTCTTTGCAGTAACAGCATACTGATTAATTTTCTATATCACATTATTTTTAATTAATTTACAAGCTTTCCATTAACAGGAAAAAAAAAAAGAAGAAATGTGATGAGTATTCTGGTATTTTGTAGAGGTATTTTGAAAAATATTAAAATACCTTTCTGTTACAATGTGAAAAAAGCAACAAAATGAAAACTTACTTAATTTTTCCAGGTTCCCTTGCATAATACATTGTTGAAAGAATGCGAGTGGAAGGTTTCACAATTGTAATAACTGCCTCGTATCTGCATGAAACACATAATAATAGTCTTATTTTAAGCTCAACAAATTAGAGAACTACTAAGTATTTTTCAGATTTAAAAGTTCACTTACTTTTTTTTCTTCTTCTTTATGTATTTATCTTGAGCAAATTCTGTTTTGTCTCTGAATGTTGTACTGTTCTCTATTAACTGCTGAACTATTTCCTTGGAAAAGACAATTTATTTTTATTATAGCTAGTATTTATTTCCCATTCATTTCATATATAGTATTTTTTTAAACAAACACTGAAAATACTTTCTTCCAGCAGAGGTATGTATACCATTAACTTCTACTGACATTAATGGCGAAGTAACTTTCTAGTAATCAAAATGAAAAGCGAGGCACTACCCTGACTATGTGCAGGAATTTAATCAGGAATTTTATCATATATTCTGTCTCTAAGTGTACTTCTACTAAATAATGCCAGTGAAAAATGATAAAACTGAAAACGCTTACACTGAAAACAGGGTATTTTGTGGGGAAGGAGTCTGGTAGGTGCCAGAACTAACTCATAAGAGAGGGCAGACTCATATGGCCAGAAACGAAAAAGCAGGATCGTTCCTTTCAGCATCAGCAAGTCAATACTTCAGCCCTTACTATGAAGCCTCAGTACCTACGTATTCTTTTCCTATGCTGAATGTGAAGATTACCCTGCTTTCTAGAAGTGATTAGCTATTTTTGATTTAATTTCATTTATTGAGAATGAGGCAGATTTATATTTATTGGCAGTTATTATGGAACACCTGACTCGTATTCTGTCAGTCTAACATTCCCCATAGTAACTGGATTGCATGACAGTACCCTGTGTGAAGCTATGCAGGCAAAAATATTTTACAAAACCAAACCAAAACAAGGAACCTGATATCATATGTAATATTTACTTTAATCCAACTCCCTCTTTGGGTCTCTTGCCTCACTTCAGCATGTCTGTCTCTGAGGGTATCTTTTTTTTTCCATCTTGTGCTAGTTTTTCCCCTATACTCTGGCTATTTATCAGACACGTCCCCTACCCTACTTAGTTTCTTCTGCATCCCAAATTGTGCTAGACTCCTGTACTAGCTCCCTGCACAATGTCAAACTCATTTACTACTTCCTACAATACTCCCTCTGACTTGTTCCTTTTCTAGCTCCCAGGTTTTCCCAGAATTCCAGGTTTTGTTTCCTGGTCTCCGTGTTCTAATCTCCTCCCTTTGCCAATCCAACTCTTCTTCCTTGTATTTTCAGGTTCCAGCTTAAGGGATCATTAAGACCCCCAACAGAAAAAAGGTTTTATTGCTCAGGGTTTGTCTCCATGCCTATTACACAAGAACAAATGCTGCAGAGTGCTATTTTGGTTGTTGTAGTTGGTAGTTTGGCTGGTAGTTTAACTGCTAAAATTGTTAAGTTTCTATTAAACACGTAGGAAGAGCAGCAGTATAACCTGGCCTCACAGGAATCTGGAGAGGGTGGTGGTGAGGAATTACAAAAGGAGTATTTTCAATGTGGACACTGCATCTCTCATTGTGCTATAAGAACCTGCTCCAAAATTCAGTGGTGCAAGTACTTCTCACTTACAATTGCTACTTTTCAAGCCATTATTTCTTAAAGCCCTTCAAACACTTACGACGTATTATTAATGGTGTGAAGCAGCATATCTTTCTTTTTTTCCCTTATTCTTGGAAAAAGTTAAATGCAGTGTCTGCGTTGTTTTGTTGAGTTTTTTGTTCCAGCAAAATTTACAGCAAGGAAACTTGGGAATATTTCTCTAGGATGAGCAAAAGCCAAAGGGAAGATGCAGCACTATGCAACGCTCTTGGAGTACATGCCACTCCATGTCGTCATCCCAACACCTATCCCTCAGGCCCTGGGAAGGATTTGGGATAGGTGACAGGAAATCAAAACCCATTAGCACCAATGTTGCTTTATTTCAAAGAACAATCACCTCTAAACTGAGCCTGCATCACAAAGGCATGCCATTCACAAACATGAGTTCAAATTTTACCAGACATTTATGGAAGAATAACATCTATTGCTGCTAATATCACACAGTCTAAAATGAATATTCAGCTACAGTTCAGAAGCCAGAATTAACAAAGTAGGATATTTTAATAACCTAAAATAACAGTATGGTAGACATATTGGCACAGACATGCTGACGACATACAGAAAAGCCAGAGTGATCTGCCACGGATAATGAGAACAAATAGAAAACATCAAAGCTATCAGACGATTAGTACATTCTTCTCAAAGAGGTAACACCACGAGCAGCACAACCATGTAAACAAACGAAATACCATTCTAAACTACTTAGACCTATCCGTTATTAAGCAGGCAAAAGCAGAACAGTTGCTCTTAAGAGCAGCAGCAAACAGCAATATGCAAAGAGATGAACTTGATGTAAGCATGAGCAATTTCTTGTTTTTATTAGAAAGGGTTAACCAAAGATGAGAGAATTTTGGCTGGTAACATATGCAGAACAGAACTGGCTGCAATGGTTTATTAACATTTAAGATGGCCTCACTTCTTTTTGACAAAGTGCAGGGTAAAATCCAATCCCTTTTCTAACAGAAAAGAACTGATCTCTTGAGAATATTCTTAGCTTTTGAGGTGCAGATAAAATACAGGCATCACGTGTTTGGTAGGTACAGCCTAGAAGCCCACTGACAGTACATTTGTTACGTAGCATTATTTGTGAATACTTTTGTGTTTATCCATAATACTTTCCTACTTCTTTGATAGTTTAATGATTGCATGATTTTAATACATCTGTAATATAGAAATAATATTTTGAATTTTATAAACAAACAAAACTAAAAGGTGATTACGCAAGCTGTATTCCTTTAATGGTTTTAATATTTTTTTTTGTCTGTTATGACTTCTGATGCTGTAACAATTCATCACTTTACTCTCTATTGACAAAGTTGCCAACCTTACATGAAGTTTTCTCTGAAAACAGCCTTTGCATTTTTGTAAAAACAAATCTTTAGGTAAAACATTATTTGGGCAGAAGAACAAAGAAAAAGCACTGAAGTCTATACACCGATAAAAAGATTAGCCTATTTCATAAACTAAAATATAACCGTCAAGGTAGCACAGAAATGACACCAAAACCTTATTTTTACCTGTCCTTTAATACCCTTGTCCTTCAAAGCCTTTATGTCATCATGAGTCAGTTTTTGAGACTTTCCATCGTCAACTATGTTACGATTATCTGTACCTGCTTCTTTTGTTTCTAAAGGAAAAGGATATAGATTTGTAAAATCTAGCTCTAAATATCTTTAAGTTGGAGAAACATACGATTTTAGTTTCACAGAAAGCAGACTTAGGATTAAACCCACATGCTTCATGGCCTTGCAAAGTATTGCCTAAGCAATCAATGAAATATAATATGTAAAATACACCTTAATTTATATATTTACCCAAACTAATGTTCAAATTTTCTCCCATATTAAAAAGTTTATTTGTTACAGGACTAGTGAAACAGCAGATCAAGACAAAACCATGCACTTTTATGACAGAAAGAATATAAGTAACGTTAACAGATAATTAATAGAAAGCTTTTCCATCATCTTTGGTATTATCAAAGAAACAAATTAATTTGAACTAATTTTTTTAAACACCAGTCAATCCTCTCTAATACCTGTGGCAGTCTCTTCCACCTCTTGCTTTGGCTGAAGGTTTCCACCACTGGTTACTTCAAATGTAGTTCCATAAATATGCCCAATGGCATTATCCAGATAGAACCACTGCTTCTCAAAAATAATTCTTCTGAAATAATAAAAAAGTTAATGATATTAAAAGCATTATTTTTACTATGCCTGAAACCCACAATAGTTGAAAGTAAACTGTAGTCTCATATATGCCATTTTATATGTGCCATTTTTATCTACATCCTTGAAGAAAAGCATAAGGACAAGCATAAAAAGTAAAATGCTAACTACTATTAACCACAAAACCACATTAAACTGAAAGTGGTTAGGAAAGAACAGAGAACTTAAATAAAGCACACAGCAAGAAATTTTTTCTTTTCAGTTCAAAAGAATTCTAAAATGGCAGATAAAACAAGGATATAACACTTGAATTTATATAGTACTATTTTTGTCAGAGAAAGTCAGAACAAGACAAGGAATGAAATTAATCTAAAGTACAAGCAAGGTTGGATGGGGCTTTGAGTAACCTGGTCTAGTGGAGAGTGTCCCTGCCCATGGCAGGGGAGTTGGAACTAGATGATCTTTAAGGTCCCTTCCAGCCCAAACCATTCTGTGATTCTATATTAAATCTCAGCTAGGTCATGCAGATTAGTGCAAAAAAGATGAGCATGAACCTGTATTTTGCAGAGCTCCATTGAAATAACACTTACCAAAATAAAAGACTATGAAGAAAACGGACATCACAGAGTGTCATGTAATCCCAGAAACGTTTAATAAAAAAAAAAAATTATACTCCCTTTCATTTTGATTGCACTAAGGGTGGTTTGCTTTTTTCCTTCTTCACATAAAAAAGGACCCTCAAAGCCTTTAACTTTCAGGCTGACCTACAAACGTTTCCTGACCAGAGAAATACGAATCTTGTCCAATGAAACTGGTACCACTGTACATGCCACACTCACATTTAAATCAAAACTTACCAATTGGAGCTCTTATTATGCTGTTTATACTCATCTCTAATTCTGAAGTTAAGCAAAAAGGTTGAGTTCTTTGTTATTTCCAGTATTCTACTGACTGAACTATGCAATTCATGCGTACATTTCACATATATTATTTGTATCCCCAAATATAATCTAGATTTAAATAAAGCACAAGAAGTTTTGTCAGAGACGTTACCAAACCCTCTTAATAAAAAGATAACGACATTATACTTGCTCACATAAAGTTTATTAATCCCTGCCAACCCAGATCTTAAAAGACTAATAAATGATTATAAAAGACTTGGAATGACTGAAAATAATTTAAATAGATAAAAAAATGTGTGCATGTGCTCAAATTTCATTTTGATGATCACTCTAAACAGAATATCCAACCACAGCTATTGTCATGTGTTCTTGACGTGTCCTTACCCTCACCAGGTTATAGAAAAGGAAAAATTAATGCTGAAATTACTTAATTACCTGTGGCAATATTTAATCTTTGACTTTTTTATTCCTTCTTTTATGAAAGGGGTTTTAAACAAAAACTGAAACTGGGCCTAACAAACAGATCTTGGCAGTGCTCTGCAAGCTAACAGAGTAACTACCTGATTTTGGTGCCAGATTCTACTGGTGAACATCAAGCCTGTCAATAACCAGTACTCCCAAACTGGGGCTGAGCTATGCCATTTTTAAATCAGTCTCATTCAAGCATAGTACCTTTAAATGTCCATGCTACTGAATCAGATGTCTGGCCACATTACCCAATACTGACTTCTACACACTAATCTATAAAATTGTCTGCTGTAAGGGGAAGAGCCCAGGCTGTGTCCACTGATTATAGTATTTCCTGCTGGGGTGCAGGTGCTTCTTGCTATGACAGTCGGCCTAGGAAAAACAAATAGGAGACCCTTCATAGCATCCTCTCCAAAACAGCAACTGTCCAGAACTGACAGCTAGCATCTTCCTATAGTCTAACACCGATGTGAACCTGAAGCCAATCCCTACTATTAACAAGGCAATGCTGCATCTCGCAGAAATTACATGCCACAGCAAGGTAAAAATGACAAAGATATGCTTCTCAGGCTGCTGCACCTTTTCTCCTATTCAGCTAGCACCAGTTTGACAATGACAACACAAAACCATATTAAATATCTTTCAAATTCTTGCAAGAAATTTGAGAACCAACCACGAGAACTGGATTTTTTTGGTCATAGAAACTGAGGCAACATTAAAATCTTTCATGCTGTCCCATCAGTCTAACGAGGCCGTTTCTGACTGGCGCGGCAGGAAAGCTGTGGGTCACATCGGCCACACCGAGAACGCCCCCTCTTCCCTCAGGCGTGACGACCGTTGGGGCCGCCTCACAGGCGGGACAGGGGACGGCGCAAACCTCCGCTGAGGCAGAGGTGATAAGCAGGATCGAAAGCCGCAGACCAACTCCTCACCTCCGCCGTAGCACGGGTACCGCTTTGAAGACATCGTCCCGCTTCAGGACGGCGCAATCGCCCTCACAAATGCGCGGGCCCAGCCTCAAGCCGTCCTCCATC